CCGCCGCCTCCACCGCCTCCACCGCCTCCGCGCCCCGGGGCCGCCCCCTCCCGCCGAGCGAGCCCCGGCCACGCCCCCTGGCGGTTCCCCGCAGCCAATGAGCAACTAGAGCCCGGCTAGGAGATGCACCGGCCAATCACAGAAGCCGAGGCCGCCCCGAATCTCCGGGCAAGTTAAGTTTATCTCCGAGACTCAGAACTCAAGGGCTATGGCGCGTTGTTAAGCAGCGGGCTGGGAGGGAATACCGTTTTTGCTGCTCGGCCAATAGGAGGAGAGGGTGGACATATGCAAATTAGACTGGAAGCCCAGCCCCTATCTCGGGCAAGCCACGCCCCCTCCGTAGGTCCCTTCGGAATTGGAGTGTGAGATAAATAGCTGGGAGCAAGATCCTCTCTAGAGGGTCTACAACTGAGCTAAATATTCCCTGATTTCTTGAGAAAGGTTGAAGTGGGGTGGGGTGGGGTGGGGTGGGGTGGGGGAGGAGGAGGGAGCTAAAACGTTTACACAGTGGGGTCAGTAGCTATGCTTTCTTCTAGCCAAAACCTTCGCTTAGCTGTGAAGACTGCGGTCACCCAGCACTTTGCATCCAGGGATCTCAAAGAACTTTATGCATCATTTATCGTAAGCCGTGTTTTGCAAACGACCAGTTGCTTGCGCGGAGGTAGGGGATAGATGTTTGAAGTATATTTACACCATTCATCGAGTCAGGGTGAAAAAAAGACACAAAACCTCTGGTTTAGCGGTTTCCTGTATCTGAAGCCCCCTCTAGCACTCAATCCTCAGCAATGAAAGTTCCTTTATTTGCCCAGCACGAAAGGGGCCAGAGAGACAGGTTTATCCTCTCACCGAAAGTCCTTTCTGAGGCAGCTGGTCAGACATATGCAGAGCACAGAGCCCTGCTTGGGAAAGAAGGTTCAGTGAACAGATTTAAAACTATTGGGCTGGACCTGCCTTTTCCAAAGCTAAAAATGGTGAGTCGGGATTTTGGCGTCCATCCTCTAGACAGAGAAGCCAGATATAAGTGGGGAAAGCTCTGGCTGGCAGAATGTGGGGGGAGAGGCGACTGGGGGGAGCCAGGTCTCCCCGGAAAGGCCAGTAGCGCTCGTGCAGGGTCGAAACCGGGTTCCTGACGCAAGATGCCCCGAAACCTGCTCCCCAGTGAGAACAAAAGCAGGCGACGAACTGGAACTCGATTGGTGCCCGGTCTTCACCGGCGTCTTCCCGGCCCTGGAGACAACTTGCTTCACCCGCTGGCACGCAGCTCCGCGCTCGCTGGAGCCCCAGCTCTCCACCGGCCCTGGCTGTGAGCATACAGCACTGTGCTTCGTGACATCACCTGTTTTCGCTCTTTAGACCATGATCGGTATTCTCGGCTTCTCCCTTTTTAAAGGTCTCTAGTGTACGAGGATTTGTGAAGGCCTGCGATTCGCAGAATCTGTGGAGATGATTTAAAAGGAAGGTTTCACTAGTCTGCATTTCTTTTCTTCCTTTTCTTTTTAATTTAAAAACAACCATGATTTCCTAAGGGATTAATTGTGGTGTTGTGATGCAAAATCAGAAAGGTACACTTGGAGGAGCTAGCAAGTTTAGCATATCAAAGCTATTAGACCAAACTGTGTGGTTGGAACTGCCAATCTCCCCCTTTTTCAACAGCTGCCTCCTCGCTGTCCCTTTTAGAGACCAACACGCATAAACCAAGTCTACACAAGGAACAAAGGAAATGGAAATCTGCCAGTGTCAGGTTTAAATAGATTTAAATAGACTGGAAAACCCCCAAGAGTTCTAAGTTGTGCGGTTGGGTAAATGTGTTGATCCATTTAACTAGTGACAGCTAAAGGTCGCTGGATGCTGTATAGACATATATAGCCTAGAATAGCAATGGTGTTGTGAAGAGCTTAACATTCAGTTAGAAAAAATACTGTAACAGCAAGAAAATTCGGAAAAGGGAGAAATTACCACATGTTCTTCAATGCAAAGAACCAAGAAATCCAGGGAGAAAGTAAGTCAGCAAGGCACAGTTTTCCTAAGAACTCAAACACATATGTGTCCTCATTTGGTGGTAAATTTCTTGGGCTATATTCCTGGCTGGTTCTGTCTTGTAAAGCAGATTTTATGTGAATACATTTTAAGGGAAGAAGAAATTGAAGGATGAAGTGAATTTTTGTGCAGAGATTGAATTTTCTCAAATAGTATTTTAACTTCAAAGTATTTCCTATTTTCTTTCCATTCTTCTTACAACTTTTCCTTTTACTGAACAGCTAAAATTCATTCACAATAAACTTACTTTAAGTTCTTCAATAGCTAAATCCCCTAAAAAGGATGGCCAAGATAGCCCAGCTCTACGTGATTATACCCCTAACAAATATTGCTAAAGGGAGGTTTTTGAGGAATATCTTCACTGATAAATGGTTAGATTCATGTATGTGACCAAATGATGGCTCTTTCCACCAAACTCCACAAAACTTTTCTAACGTTAATTGTCTGTGGTGCCATTTATTTGGCATTTAACCATTGTGATGCTTCTTCAATAGGCTGTTACATATATTTATGTTCCACCCCTGAATCCTCAATCCAGTAGCTCTTTCTCAGCACACAGCAGCCACCCTTCCCTCTCATCCTGACAACCTCCATTCCCATCATATCGTTCTCTCCTTTCATGGTCATGTTCAACTTCTGGATCCTTTACTTCTTTTCCACTCCTCACCTGGCTTCCCTTCTTTCCTAGCCATCCTGGAGATCATAAAGAGAATGGGACTTAACAAGTGACTTGCAAATCCTAGTATCACACTGTTTGAGGGAAAGGAGCAAAAGCCACTTCTTTTAAATAAGGAGACACTCCATCCCTTTGTTGTCTGGTATTTCTATAACAAGAAAGAACTTTAGAAAAATAAGATATAGGTAAAAATTACAATTAATGTTGAGAACTACTTCTTATTTTTTCATTACAGAATTAGGATGGTATTTTATTAAATGTTTTGCATCATTTAAAAAATAAATTTTGATTATTTTGAAATATTCTTTTAAAGTGTGATTTTTGTTTTTACAAGTAGTGTAAAATCACATGGTTTGGGTGTACCGTAACTTATTTAATCATTATTCCATTATTGAACATGCAGGTTTTTTCCAGTTTTTCATAGTTACAAATAATGCTGTGATAAGCTTCCTCATACATACGTTTCTGTCAGGGTCTCTGATTCCTAGATGTGGAATTTAAACTGAAAGGGTATGAATATGTTTTAAGGCTCTTGATGCAATTTGCTAAAATAGTTTGTGGAAAGGTTCAAACAATTTGCACTCACCTCAGAAGAAAGAATCATATGAAAGCACAAACCCGATCTGCCTTTCCCTACATAAGGCTGACCAGTATTGCACTTACCTTACCTCTAATGCCATAAGGCTGACCAGTATTGCACTTACCTTACCTCTAATGCCTTCCATGCCCTTCTGCCTGGTGATTGACCTCCTATTAAAAGACCTTCTGGTAGAGTCAAGCACTTGTCAAAGTGTCCATGGTGCCTCTCTTACACCTTCTTTAGCATCAGGCTCAGTAGTTACATGATTGATTTAAGTTCTATTTTTTTATGAGACTGTGAACCACTCGAGGGCCAGGATGGACTTAACAGTCATTGTGCATTCTTGATTCCTAGCCCAATCCACAGGGATGTGCTTTTAAACTCTTGGAGAAAATCACGAGTTTTCGCTCTTACTTTCCTAAATATATGACACATTCTTCTGGGGCATCTCTTTTGAATCTCTGATAATAGCTACAGGATCCTCTAGAAGGGCCCCAATAAATATTTGTGAATGGAATAGCTAAAAAAACCCAAACCTATTGCTGCAGAGCAGAGAGATTTGATTCATGTCCTTATCTGTTACCATTTCCTTCTGTGACATTGAATGTAACATTAATGGCTGGGCTTGCCATCTCTTTTATAAAATGAAAGTTTTCGCCAGGAACCAAGAGTATAGGGAGGGTTGGTGGGTGAATTTTTATGTTCAACACTTTTGAAAGAAGGTACCCTGTTAATAACATGCTGTGATTTTTGGACTTGAAGTTGTTTACTTCTGTAGATATTCTCATTCTACTGACCTAAGAACTGGGCCCCTTTATAATTCCTAAATAAGGATTCAATTGAAAAAATCAATTACTAAAGATATTTTTTAAATTTCATTTCTTGAGACAGTAGGTCATTTTCTAACGTTCGCCTCCTCAGACTTTTTTTACTTCCTGCCCAGGGGCACCCAAAGCATTTGGAGTGCAGAGAAAGGGCTGCCTTACTTACAAATTTGCAAATACTGTAATTTGTTTTGTGCACAAAGGAATTTGCACTTCACACAATTGTAAATTGATTGCTCCCTTTTGGGCTGTTATTAGATTCCTGCTATTTTTTTCCTAGGGCCCAAGACCAATACTACACCAAAGGAGAAATGAAGAGGATATGTTCCAAACGGCCATGGCTTCTGTGCCCGTTCCCGTGCCACCCACTCAGTCACCCACCTCGACCAAGAAAACTCTTACCAAAGCTCATTTTTCAAAGAACAAAT